TTGATCTCGCAGTCTTTGGACTGTTGGCCTGACTTTCCTTCAGCAGAGCTGTCTGACACTTTGCAAAGTACGGTATATGCTCAACGTTGTGTTTATGGCTTATTTCAGCGTTTATTCTTCCAAACTTTGTTCGGTATTCATTCGTTCATTTTACCTGAGTTCCATAAGGAACACATCTCCTAGAAGAACAGAAAGGGGTATTTATATGTTAGTAAACAAAAAATTAAGTGAAAACTGCCGCTGTTCTGTAACTTAGCCAACAAGGCGTTCTTGACAGGTCGCTTGTAGTCCGGCTGGTGTTGCAACCAAGATGCCAGGATGCCAGAATACGTTGGTAAATAACTCGGTCGACATTCCACTGCAAAGTACTGCTTATCATTGTCGCAGAAGGTGAATAATTCGCAACTATTAGTGCAGAACGTAAAATTTATAGAGCTAATAATGCCGCCAATACGCGATTTTACGCCATTAACTACCCTGGACGGTTAAGACTATATTAGGTAAAGTGTTCCATCGTCATTGTCGCGCAGCCAGGTTTCCTGCTACCCAGTCGCGCAGGTGCTGTTGAAAAGCAACATCGACAAGAGAACCTTCAGTTAGTAAAGTTTAGGCAGGATAACCCGGTAGTTGCTGGAAGATACAGCTGGCAAACGCAGGTTTTTTTGCATGGCATCTTTTCTAAGCTGTTTGCCATTCTCCTGTTCTGCTTCGTCTTGTCCTCAGAAGGTTTACCGCAGTCGACATTTTAAGCACAAAAGAGTAATGGCACCTGTTGCGACTTGACTCGTACGGGGTTGACCCAGCTTTGCTAGGGTGAATGAGACGAGCTCGAATCGCCGTCTGATGATGAATGTTTGATTTAAGCAGTTTATACACAAAGGCCGTCAAATGGTTATATCGTGTATTACGAAAAATTTGTCTATACAGTTACTAAGAAAATATGAATCAGTGGCGTACATGATCCTCGATTAAATCTTGTTGCAGATGCATTGTCTTATGAAAGTGTTGCCATATTAAAAGTCTAAATGATGTTTGACAAAAGTAGAATGTCATGATGGAAGAAAAAACTTTTTTAAACAAATGCGTGATCGTCAAATAAAGCAGTAAGACGAGAATTTCCTCGACGAAGGTTCGCTCCTTGCTGCAGATTCAAATCTGTGGAGCGAGAAGTTAGCTTGATAGGGCCAAATTTATGAAGTATTGGAGTATCCGGGAAATAACCAACAGAAGTTAAAAATAGTAAATTGATAGAACTCGACTAGGAACATTCTAAACTGAGTGATCAAGAAACAAACGGCAACGTTAAATAATGTAACGGACAAAATTAAGATAAGCATAATGAATGAATATAAGCAACCTGCATTAAAGGTTATTTTGAAAGAAATGCCACTGTCTCTGAATTCCGAACTTCGCATTACAACATAATAGATAAGATAAGTTAGACGGAGATTAAGTGACTTTTGGCAGAGTTGCTTTAGTCAAGGCAATAGATTTGCAGGTGTTAGGGGAAAAAGTTTTGAAATGCTGTATTATCAGTCCTTTTTACAATTGGGAATGTCTTGGTCATTTCCTACACAGACTTTTTTTTTGTAAAACGTGAATTTATTTACTTATTATATTAAAGTCATACTTTTAGACTTCTGATGCGAATTGGAATGCTCTAGAACAAGAGAATGCATCGCTTACGAAAGAAATTCAGGATCTTGCCTTAAAACTGAAACAGAAGGAAAAAGAGCTGAAGGAAAATCAGGCGGAGAGCGTGATCACGTTGCGCAAACTTAACGCAGAACTGTCTAACTTGAAAGTGTGCTTCGCCAAGACCAACTCGGTACCATTTTCTTCTTCGGAGTGTTTAACGTCTTCCATTTTATCGTCAGGAGAAAGCAACCATTGAGTCGTCGCTTGAACGAGTCACCCGTGATTTTGATGCACTTCAAAAAACTTATGAGATCAGCGTGCAAAAAGAAGTAATTGTTCGACTCGGCACGTTCGCCGTTTCCCTAAACTTTAATATTTCAGAATTCCTTAAGGGATTTGTTAGCTACTCACCTTGGCGGCAGTGATTTTACCAATGCCGATGACCTGAAACTTTCGATCGAGTATCTTCTACAAAAGAAAGATGTTGCGGAATCAAAGTTGGAGGAGGCACGATGAGTTTGATTGTTAAATTGCCTTTCTTCAGACATCAGTTTCGTTGCCATACTGCTGCACAACATTTTTTTTTGTTTTAGGCGGTAAATGTCAGCTTTTGGACGCAATTTCATTGCAGTTCTATTTTAATGGGCTCTCTGGATCATTTGCACAGCTTAATTGCACCCCAGAATAATTTCTTTTGCAGAGGCTGAAAATGTGTAATAGAATTGCAACTTTTCAGCCTATACCTTGTAGGCCTTAAGTCATTTGCCCTCTCGATTGATTGGCATTATGGCTGACGCATTCATGAGTCTTGTCGAAGAACCCCTAAATCTATTTTCGAAACACCTGTGAAATGAAGATCAGCAATGAGTATGTCCCGATTGCTGCATGGTTGTTAAAATTGTTTTGCCTATGATGCTGCAGTTGTTTCTTTCGAAGCCTTTTTTTTGGATTTTTACAAATTTTTACGTACAGATGAAATGTTATATACTTACTTTCCGTTGGACTCAAGCAGACCGGTCAGATAAATGACATGTCGATAAGTACTGTGTCGCAAAGCTGCGAGCTGAAATATTGAGATAACTTGTGGTAAAATCATTAAATAATAATGGACTGCATCGTAAGGCAAAATATTAATTGCAGCCAGAAGAAGAGCAAAGAAGCGATGTGTACTGTTCATTTAGATCTGAAAAAGCTGTAAGAGAATCAGCCGGTAGCAGCCTCAGAAATTGGTAGGAATATCTAGCGATTTGATGTACAATGAGTACTGTTCGTTTCTAGTCTCTTCTCCTCCTTGTATCATGTAGGCAACAAAGAATTGAAAAATACTGATTCAAAGAAGGCCGGGTCATCATTACTCTAATACCAAGATCGAGCATGGAATGAGGGGGATGAGCGGCGGGATAACAAGAACAAAATCATAAGATTGCCATCCACGTTTGCTAAGCACATATGAAAAGAACGAACGTAAAAGAAGTCGTATAAAACGAATGTACTGTTTGACGTTATATCTGAATGTGTCTGGTGAAATAAACTATCCACGCAACACTTGACTGTTAGGAATATTTTAATTCTACTATTTAATAGCCTTATTGGCTTTATTTTTTTAGCCTGCCTTTCCTTAGGCGTTGGCGTGGTAGAAGAGTTTCTAAGAGGTCTGTTTTGAGCTCCGGAGATGCCGGGTTAGATTTCGCTCGAGTGCAGTCGGTCTTATTCAGGAATTCCCTTGAGCAAGGAATTTACCACACATGGCTTTACACCATGGTTGTTCAGTCGATAGATCGAAGAACTCTGAACCATTGGCTGCCAAATTTTAGTCTAGGCCAGGGTCACTTGCTCTTATTCATTCTGACTTGTAGAAAGGAAATAGGAGACTAAATGCTACGCTCGCCACATGTGCATAGATTCGACCTTTAAAGAAAACAAGCCATTTCTGGCTGATGGCACAGAAACAGATGAGTACCGCACCATTAGAATCATGAAAAGTAGGGCGCCAAAATAGATCAGTGGGAGTAATGGAAGGCCGACATTCCAAGGGTCACAAACTTCCCTTCCTCAGAGGAGTTAACGGGTTCTATATGCGCAGTGTCGCACGTGGTGCAGTAGATGCACAGCTACGCTGAATCATTTATTTGCTGCAGTAATAAATTAAGCATACAGTGAATAAGTCTGTAGTCGTCACTGCGGTACTTATTTAATCGAATTTCGATTTTATTCAAATCCTATTCAACACCATCTCTGTTTGCTACATTAAAATTTATTCCTTGCTTCCACCGCCGCATATATGTGAGGGAATATATATTCATCTTCATCCTCTATGACCGTTTCACCGCGCGGGCTGCGGAGGCCGACGTGTCTGAAAATGCTTTTAACGTTCCCTATCCTGTGCCAGAGTCTGGACTTCTGCATAAAACTGCCGGAGTCTAGAGCAGACTCCTTCCATATATTTGCACCAGCTTAATTATGGCGTCCATTAGGCCTTCTGCCGGTCAAGAAATTGATCATTGGCCTTCTTTTCTGAAGGCATTCGCAATAAATGCTCAGGCCACCGTAGCTGTGACTTCTCAGTCTGAAGAAGCAGCGGCTGTATGCCAGGCTCTTGCGGATGTCTGTATTCCGAACCTTGTCTAAACGTGTAAGGCAAGCGATTAATCTCACAACGCTTATATCAGCCCCTCGCTTGTCCCTAAGGTCGCTATTTTTGTGTCATGGTCCACGACTCATAACAGCAGGTACTCATGGGGAATGAAACTTGACTTGAATACGGATAACTCAGTCTTCAAACTTAGCTCTGTTTTAGTCACAATGGTTGGGATTAGTTTATGCAGAAGGTCACTGGCTATTCCTATTCGCTTGTCGATATCCTCTTCAGATTTTCCACCACCAGTTATCAGGACCCCGGGGGACTTGAGCTTCTCCGTTAAGCTTTAGACAGCAGCGGGCAAGGGAAAGCAAGAACATTAGGCTATTCGTTTTAGATGCGTTCACTCGCCCGCCACGTCGTACTCGGCTGCAAACCTCTCCATATAGCTCTGTAGATCA